CAGTCTGACTTCACGCAAGTCAGCATGGAACATACCTTTCTTGCCAGAAACTAGAAACGTCTGACTACCGTCCAGTTCAAGACTTAAAAAAAGTCAACAAGCGGGTAAAAACTATTCATCCAACTGTTCCTAACCTGTACACTTTACTTAGTCTACTTCCCCCTCAACATCAGGTACTGTGCTAGATTTAAAAGATGCTTTTTCTCTATTCCCCTGTCTCCTGTCAGCCAACCTATTTTTGCTTTTAAGTGGACAGATCCAGACACAGGAGACACCAGTCAGTTAACTTGGACTACCACAAGGATTCAATAACTCCCCAACACTCTTTGGGGAGGCCTTGCAACAGGATTTGTCGGGGTTCCATGCCCAACACCCTGAATGTGCTTTGCTTCAATATGTGGATTAACCTCCTACTTGCAGCTGCAGACTTGGACACCTGTTTACAAGGTACCAAAGCTTTGTTACAGCTTCTCCAGGACCTGGGCTAGAGTATCAGCAAAGAAAGCACAGCTTTGCTCTGCCAAAGTGTCTTACCTTGGATACCAGCTGCAAGAGGGCAAGCAAGCCCTAACCTCAGCCTGGAAAAAAGCCATTCTCCAAATTCCCACGCCAACCACCAAGAAACAGGTACAGGAATTCCTGGGGGTGGCAGGGTATTGTTGGCTATGGATCCCACAATTTGCCAAAATTGCCAAACCCTTGTACTCGGCCATGGCAGGGGATCAACCCCTAAATTAGACTGCTGCTGAGGAACAACTGTTCCAGCAGCTAAAAACAGCTCTAACTCAAGCACCGGCACTAGCCCTTCCTGATGTCACCAAACCTTTCCACTTGTTCATTCATGAACAACGAGGAATTGCCAAAGGGGTCCTCACTCAGACACTAGGGCCATGAAAATGACCGGTGGCCTATTTGTCAAAGAGACTGGAGCTGGTAGCTTCTGGCTGGTCCTCTTGTCTTCGAGTCATTGCAGCCATGGCTTTGCTGATTAAAGAAGCAGATAAGTTAACCTTCGGCCAAAACCTGGCTCTAATGCTCCCCAGGCTGTTGAAACTCTGCTCCGGGGAGCCTCCGGCCACTGGATGTCAAACGCACATATCAGAGCCTACTACTAGACCAGCCTAGACTAACTTTCTCTCCTACTCAATGCCTCAACCCGGCAACCCTGTTGCCTGATAACCATCCGGAGACGCCAGTGCATGACTGCAAGGATGTGTTGGACATTACCCAGGTCAGTCGACCTGATCTTTAGGACACTCCTCTGCGTCAAGCTGATGCTGACCTGTTCGCTGGGGAGCAGAAAAAAGAGTAAACATCTACATGGACAGGCGGTATACGTTTGCTACACTTCATGTACATGCCATAATCTACAAAGAACGTGGTCTTCTCACCATAGCAGGTAAAACTATCAAAAATAAAAAAGAAATAATAGCCCTCTTGGAAGCTGTTGGGTTCCCTAAAGAGATAGCTGTTATTCATTGTAAAGGTCACCAAAAATCTGACACTCTAGAAACAATTGAAAACCACCTGGCAGGCCGGACAGCTCAGAAAGCAGAACTCTGAATTAAACCCCTAACTATTTTACCAGCTAAAACTTTTCCAGTCCCTTCTCTCCCACAGCGGCCCAGATATACACATAGAGAAGAAGAGGCTGCAGAGCTGGTGGAAGCTTATAAGAAACCTGATGGCTGGTGGGTTAAAAACTCCAGAATTGTTCTACCTGAAATTCTTGCAGAAAAATTATTGACAACTCCACTTTACCATCCACCTAGGAGGAACCAAAATGGCTGAACTGTTAAACCGTTTTTATATTATCAATAACTTAAAAGACCAAGCTAATTCAGCAACTTTAATGTGTCCTGCTTGTGCTCCTGTCAATCCCAAGAAAGGTCCAAAACTCCTTCCAGGAATCAGGGCACAAGGATTAAGCCCTGGTGAACAATGGAAAATAAACTTTACTGAAATAAAACCTCCACATGCAGGATACAATTATTTACTGGTGTTAGTAGACACTTTTTCGGGATGGGTAAAAGTGTTTGCCACAAGAAATAAAACTGCCCTTACGGTTGCAAAATACTTATTAAATAAAATAATTCCTAGGTACGGGCTTCCTCTTTCTATTGGCTCAGACAAGGTCCTGCCTTCACCTTGTCCATAGTATAGCTGGTTAGGAAAGCACAGAACATCAAATGAAAACTGCATTGTGCTTACCAACCACAAAGCTCTGGACAGGTAAAACGCATAAACCAGACTTTAAAAAATACTTATCTAAATTAATAATAGAAACCGGTGAAAGATGGGTAACTTTCTTCTCCCTAGCTCTTCTTCAAGCTAGATGTACCCCGTATAAGACTGGGTTTACTCCCTATGAAATCATGTTTGAAAGACCCCCTCCTCTGTTACCCCGCTTACGGGATCCTATTCTTAAAGAGTTTACTAATCAATCTCTGTTAAAGTATCTCCAGTCTTTACAGCGGGTGCAGGACCTTGTCCACACGAACGTCTGTGCTGTACTGCCAACTCCAACTTCCACACCGTGTTATCCGTTCCAGCCTGGAAATCTGGTCTATGTCAGAAAGTTCCAGAAAAAAGGACTGAGCCCCTCCTAGAAAGGACCATACAAAGTCATCCTCACCACCCCAACGTCACTCAAGGGTAGCGGGATACCAACCTGGATTCATCATTCACAAGTCAAGGAAGCTGCGGACGCCGAAGTCTGGCTCAGCCAAGCCTGCAGTTGGAATGCTGATGTGCCCTTTCACCCAAACAACAACTGGACTGTGAACCAACATCCTGATAATGCTCTCAAAATCACTCTCCAAGCCCACTGTCCAACATCACCTGACCAGCCAGCAGCAGAAACCACGAAACTTTGACCATAACTGAATGCACTGCATTCATCCCTTGCCTCTATTTTTGTTATCCCACTTGTTCTAGGATTTGAAGCAGCACTGCTTACTACAATTCCTGAAGAATGGCCGTGCTGCAAAAAAGATCTATTAACACTGTTTTATTTCTCATGTACTGGATGTATTATTGCTTTATTATGCTTAAAACAAGTTTACCCTGGTTTATTCCAGCAAGCACCCCTTTGGGTTCAGCTTATTATACTACTTATACTTTTACTTTAAGTTCCTTTACTTCAGAACAAGTTTTAGCTGTACAATATTGGACCCCTAACTCAAACCCAATCCAGTTTAAAGTAACTCTTCCAGATCTGGTACCTCGCATTTTAAACTGGTTTGTAAACTTTGTCAAGAAACGAATCAACTCAGTAAAATTTTATATACCAGAACCTATTATAATTTCCTTCCTTTAACTAAAGAGTCAATAAATTGACTCATGCACAACTAAAAGGGGGGAATGAAATAAGCTAAATCAGTTAATAAAATCAAATTGCTAGCAAAGTAATAATATTAACCAGCTTACTCCATTTTGTTTAAAACTTTCATCTTAGTAACCTGCCTGACCTAAGAATCAATGCCTACGTGTGATTACAGTAACATTCCCATGACCACAGACCTCCAGCTTTGTCTCCTTTGGGCAGGTTATGCTGACCGTTGCTGGCTGACCGTTATAGAACTACGCCATAGCTTCCATGTAATTGTATGCTTTGTTAACTGAAATCAAATGCTATGCATTGACATTTTCATAGTTTGTTCTTATATTGTTAGTGATCTAACCAAGGTAACTCCATTGTATAATGATTCTTCTTCTTCCTCTCTATGTAACTACCTTAAACTATATCTTAATGGCAGAACTCCAAGGACTTTCTGAGCACTGGCTATACTTACTTGACATGAAATTAATCAAAGCTCCCTAACAATCAAAGTTCCCATTTTGGTTGCCAAGTCGTTAGTTAATAGCTGCTATAGTACTAAGCTGCTATGTAGCCAATGCTGCAAATTTTACCTATAGAAGCTTGTCACAAACTGCACCAATTTGCCAAGAGTTTTTCTGGCGTTTGCCTACTCTTGACCCATGCGTTTAATAAATTCATAATTAATTAAACTCAACTTGCTGGCGTAACTTCTTCTCACTTACTCCGTCATAACACTCTACAGTTAGCACGTGTAATAAAAACTGACATTTACTTAGTGATTTAAATGCTTTTGCATTAATTATTGCATTTTAACCTCACAATGCTGAGACCTTGGTAGGGCAGGTTATTATTATTAGAGTGGGGTAAACTGTCGCCCAGGCTGGGGTGCAGTGGTCTGAGCATGGCTCACCTCAGCCTTAAAATCCTGGGCTCAAGCGATCCTCCAGCTTCAGCCTCTCCAGTAGCTGGGACTACAGGTGCACACCACCACGCCCGGCTATTTTTAATTTTTTTCCAGAGACCGGTCTCGCTATTCTTCGATATCAACCTCCCAAAGTTCTGGGACTACAGACATGAGCTACTGCGCCCAGCTGAGGGCAGGTAGTTATTAACCTCATTCCACTGGAGAGTCAACTAAGTACAAGAGAAGTCAAGGGGCTTGCTGGGGGTCAGGCAGACAATCGAGCATCAGAGTTGGGAGCCTCTATGCGAAACCGTCCTCCTCTGGGTCTCGGCGAGGAGGCTTGGTGACAACTCCGCGTGTGGCAGCTGACTTTGTACAAACAGCCTTCTCATCTGAATTTCACCCCTACTTGAGCAGCCTCGAGCTGGGGAGAAGTTCCCGGCCCCCTTTGAAGACGTGGAGAGGGAGGACGGAAGCTTGGACGGCGGCCTGGAGTCCCGGGCTCACGGCCTGCGGCGCGCGGACGCCCCCAGGCAGGCGTGACCCCCATGCTCGGACCCCACGGCCCCTCCAGGAGGGCCTCAGAAGAGAAAGGGCTGGGGCCGAGGAGCAGAGGGCTCTAGCCCCGATGTCCCGCCACGCGCGGACCCCCCGCCCCTCTGGGAAGACCCCAGAGAAGATCCACGGGGCTGGGCCGAGGGCTGGCGGGCTCCCGTCCCTAAGCGACTCGGCACGGCCCAACCCCCTCCTGGCTGCCGGGGCCCTGATCCTCACCTGCCACCCGCCCACTGGGGCTGGGGGAAGGTACCGCCTGCAGCCGTGACCCGGGTCGGGAAAGAGGGCGAAGGAAACCCGGAGGCCGTAAGGAGACCCCGTGCCGCCGTGCGGCTTGTGCACCCGCGCCGGCCGGTCCGCGGCGAACCGACTTCCGCGCATGCCCAGTGTAGGAGCGGGAGGCCCTCCCCCGCGGCCGAGAGCGCGATGCGCTTCCGGTTCGCGTGCAGTGGGCGGGACCTGGAGCCCCCGGTGTGGGCGCTGCGGGGAGCTAGGGGTGGGGCGTGCAGGCCTGGGAACCCGGAGGGTGCGTACCCTCCGTCTAGCCTGATTCTACCGCTCCGAGGCTGTGGGCGAACCTGTGGCAGATGGGGAAGGGAGACGCTTATGCTGTTTTATTGGCCACCGCGTCCTAGACTTCTGTGTTTTCAGGGATGTCTTTTTGTGCTTAAAACTTATTTTCTGGTTTCCTATCGTGCACCTATATACTTATATAATAACAATACATTGATTATCAAGGTGGTAGTAATAATATCAAGGACGTTTATTCAGGCTGTTTTTATTGACCATAATGTAAATGATGGTGGATAGGTTTAATCCAGAAGTACGAAGACCTTGCATTCTCTTAACTCCACAGGTTCATGTCGGCAGACAGAACGGCTGAATAGGGTTCTCATGTCTGGGCCTCTGCTTACTTGATTTCTAATGTAATCTCCAAGGTCTCCTTATTCACTCAACAGATACTCATCCAGGCCGGCTCGGTGGCTCAGCCTGTAAGCCCAACACTTTGGGAGTGTGGAGGCAAGTGGACTGCCTGAGCCTGGGGTTCGAGACCAACCCGGGCAACTTGGTGAGACCTCGTCTCTACCACAAATCAAAAACAGCCGGGCGTGGTAGCGCGCACGCGCCTGTAGTCTCAGCTACTTGGAAGACTAAGGTGGAAGGCTCACCGGAGCCCTGCAGGTCGAGGGTGGAGGCTGGAGTGGCCATGAGTGTGCCACTGCACTCTAGCCTGGATGGCGGAGTGAGACTCCAACAACAGCAACAAGCAAGAACAAAACCCCAGATATTCATCCAGCCTTAACTGTATGCCACACACAGTGCTGGGCGCTGGGTACAACTGAGCAAAACCAGTCCCAACCATTTCTGTCAGGAGATCAATTAAGGGTAGAAAGGAAAGCTAAATAATCACAAAAATGGAGGAAAGCTGCGTGGTCCTTGAAACCCTGGCGGGACCTGGCTACTGAAGGGGGTTCAGCTGTGCTATGAAGTTTCAGATTCCATGCAATGCAATTCCTGTCTTCTTAGAGCACTGCCCCATGCGAAGGCAGGACCGTTGGGCGTGCTGCATAGGAGCGGCAGCCTCTCCATCGACATTTGGGAACCCCATGGTCTTCCCTCCCGTCTCCCATCCAGAGGCAAATGTTGGCCCAGTACTGCCAATGGTGCGGTACCTGCTCTCGTGCATGACCCACCCTCGGCAGGGCGTCCTCAGCACATCGTGCTGGGCGCCTGCGGAAACGCATTAGGCTTGGCCCCTGACCTGGGACACTAGGCCGAGCTCAAGGGAGTCTGACAGCTCAGGTGGTCTCCTAGCTCCCCCACGGACGACCCTACGCTGCGATTGCAACTGAAATTTGCAGCGTCTCATCTATTAAGATGGAAGAGTAGCGGAGATCTTTACTGCGATGCCTGTAAGGCGTTGGCCTGGGGCTCGGGGGGGTCATGTAACAGTATAAATGATAACGCATGGCAGTGTCCCAGCTACAGCGCGAGCGACTGTTTCCAGAGTGTGATGGCGTAGGAAAGACTCAAGAGATTTCTAAGCAGCTTCAACGCGGAGTGGGGGCGGAGCACCTCCCACCAACTGTGCCTGGGAGCCCCGCCTCCTCAGGCTGTTCACCCCGCCCACCGCCCTATTTCCTCCTGGCCGGAATCACCCGGGCGGGACCCAGCGCCGACGAGAGCCCGGATGAGAGCACAAGGAGGCATGCGCACGAGCTCAGCGCCGCTGCCATTGGCCATCGTCGAGAAGCGTATTGATGACGCCACCAGAAAACAGGAAGAAGACTCTACGGGAGCTGGTGTAGGCCAGAAAGCGTCAGTCCGGAGTCGTTTGCTACGGGGAGGGAATGAATGGGCGCTGGGAGCACGCCCGAGTGGTAGGGACGCGCCGGGCCTAGTGAGGGCCTCAGAGTGTAAGCGACTCGGGTTTGACCGCCTTCCTGCAACATGGAGGACGATGCACCGGTGATCTACGGGCTGGAGTTCCAGGTGGGTCAACTCGGAGAATGGCAGGTGATTCTCGGCCTAGCTGCTGACCAGGTTGTGCGGTGACTTCGGCTTGCAGATCCCCCAGCAGCCCTGCGAGGACTCGTGTTTGTCCCCTAGGTCCTATTTTGCAGACGGGTAAACTGAGGCTTCAGGAGGCTAAACGGTTATAGAACCAGGACCGAACCCGCATCACTTCGGCTGCGTCCTGGATAACTACAGACAGGGTTGGCATAGTCGTCCTGCCTCTTTCCACCTCCCGTCCTGTCCAGAACATAACTTCTAACTTTGGAATTATCGTTCACTTTGGTGTACTCATTTGTTTGTACGCCCAACTTTTCCTCTAGAATTAAAGTTGCAGCACGTAGAATCTGTATCTGTTTTTTTTAAAAAATAGTTTAATTTGAAACAATTTAAAGTACAGAAGAGCTGCAAGGATACACAGAAAGTACCCCTGGCACATCTTCCCTCATGTTAACATTTTACATAGCCATGTACATTTATCAAAGCTTACAGATTAACACTGATGCAATGCTGTTAAGTAAACCTCAGACTTTATTCAGATGTAATTGTTTTTCTACTAGTGTCCTGTTTCCTTTTCATCCTGTATTCTCCAGAATCTGTTCACCTTGACTATCCCATAGTAGGTGCTCAACAAATCATTTCCAACTGAATGAACCCCCATAGCATAAGCAATGGGTGTGGCAGTTTAGGACAGTAAGAAAGCTGATGTAGATAGAGTGAATGAATGGGGGGTGAGGGGATGATGTAGATGAGATGGGAGGGTAGGTAGGTGAGGATTGTCTAGGGCCTGTTAGAGCCCTGTACTGCTTGGTTTTCATTTATCCAAGAAGCTTTGGGAATCTTTTAGGCTTATGGCATGAGAGAGAGAGAGAAATAAAATCACAGTTCATTGCTATATGAAGTACCTGATACATAAGGTGTGTGCCGGAATGTGTGTTAAAGATGTCAGTGGACCGGGCTCGGTGACTCAGCCTGTAATCCCAGCACTTTGGGAGGCCGAGTCAAGTGGATTGCCTGAGCCCACAGGTTCGAGACCCACCTTGGCAACTTGGCGAGATCTCATCTCTACAATAAATAAAAAAAAATTAGTGGTACGCGCATCTGTAGTTCCGGCTACTTGGAAGGCTGAGGCGGAAGGATCACCGGAGCCCAACAGGTCGAGGCTGTGGTGGCTGGGAGCGTGCCACTGCACTCCAGTCTGGGCGACAAGAGTGAGACTCCAACTCAAAAAAAGAAAAGAAAAAAAAAAGTCAGTGATCTCTGCTTATAAGTAAGTTACAGTGAGAGATGAAACAGTGTTAATTGCAAAAAGCATGGACACCACCCAGACACCTAAGGTTTAAATCCTGGCTCCAACATTTATTAACTGTATGACCTTGGGCCTCAGTTTCCTTACCAAGAGAACAGGAAAATAAGCATCTGTGACTGTTAGGAAAATTAAATAAGTGAATACATTTAATTGAAGCACAACAGTGCCTGTCATGTAGTGTGTTTAATAAGTATTGTTCTAATTATTATAACAAGACAGAATTCTTACAAGTTAATTCCATACGAGGCAGTAGCTAAGTGTCATATGTATAATAAATGGTTTTATAGGGTTTAACTGGTGTCTGTATCACATTCACAAGATTGATGGCTTAACTGCCAGTTATTGAGCACTGAACTATATGTCAGACACTCTGCTTAGCACTGTACACATATTTCATTTAATTCTCACAGCAATCCTGTTTTACAGATGAAGAAACTGAGACTCAGAGAGGATAGTTATCTGTCCAAGGTTTCTTAGCTAGTAAATGATAGACCTGGGATTTTGACCTATTTAGGCTTTAAACCCATACTGATTTCAAGAACCACTAAGTTCTACTGCTTTATTCTTTTTTTTTTTTTTTTTTTGAGTTGGAATCTCACTCTGTCGCCCAGACTGGAGTGCAGTGGCCGCTCCTGGCCACCGCAGCCTCGACCTGCTGGGCTCCCGCGATCCTTCCGCCTCAGCCTTCCGAGTAGCCGGAATTACAGGCGTGTACTACCACGCCCGGCTGATTTTTGATTTATTGTAGAGATGAGGTCTCGCCAAGTTGCCCAGGCAGGTCTTAAACCCGCGGGCTCAGGCAATCCACTCACCTCAGCCTCCCAAGGCATGGTATTACAGGCTGAGCCACTGAGCCGGCTTACTGCTTTATTCTTAACTAGATATACATGTGGACACACAGGGAGGGACCATGTGAGTAGATATAAGGTTCCATGATTTTGTACTACCTAAATTGTGCATCTTCTGCCAATGTTGCCTAATAACTTCTTGACCTCCCCAAGAAATCTCTCAAATAACCCAAAGGTTTTGATCCTCAGTATTGGATCTTTGAGGTTAACTGAAATGTTATTTTCTGAGATTTGAAAAGTTATTCAATTGATCCTCCTAAGGGAGTCAATTATTTTATCAGAATTTCTTCATCTTAAAAGAAGTAGCTGATCTTTGCACTTAGAAGATAGTTCCATGGGCCATGACTTTCTTGAATGTGAAGACCCATCATTGCAGTAAACATAAAAATAACTGAAAATGAAAGTTATTGGCATTTTGGTCGTGAGTTCAAATCACATGGAGAACAGTTTACATTAAAAGATGGAGATTGGATTGTTGACCATGGACTGAAGGTATTGAGGCTTAAGGTAAAGTGGAGTAGGGAAGTTCTATGGCTGAAGACCAACACAGAGGGCTCATTAAGGCAGAAACATACTGAACAGATTAGTGGTAATTGTTTTGAATTTTTTATAGTGAAATTTCAAATGAAATTTGAAATGCTTTTACACACTTTTCGTTTACTGATCAGTAGAAATTAGCTTTCTATGTATGAGTTTAATGAATAGTTCTCAGTTAACAGATAATGAATAGTTCTTTATGACTGTCTTGAAGTCTGTACAAAAGGAATGATTCCTCTCCTGAAAGCTTACTCCTTTGAGCTTTTTACATTAAGAGACCTTCTGTAGTCATGTGGATCAAATCTCCTTGGGACAACATGCGAGTGACAGGAAGAGGGAGCCAGCAGCAGGCAGTGGCTTTCTCACATGGGAGTAGGAGGCCAGGGATGGACCAATGCAGCCAGCGGGGCCTGGGAATGTGAGTAGAGTGTGCCACATCTATCAGCTCCTATATTAGTCCAGTGCTGCCAGTTGAGCTGGGCCAGACCAGAAAGGGAATTTGGAGGGTGATGACTTCGGCTTGTTTCAAGTTGCTTTCCTTTGAGTTTACTACCAAAATCAATAAGTAAGCAGGGCCAAGGCTGAAAGCCAGACAAGGGTACAAGCATCTCCTTTCTGTTCTGGGAGGTTCTTCTGGAGTCTTGTGGTCAGTGCAGTCAGGTCAGAGGGGCAAAGAGACTGTGTGCTTGTGGCCTTTTGTGCCATCAGGCTGAGGGACAGATGAACAGGCCAGGCCAGTGCTCAAGGGTCTGCCTGCTGCCACAGAGAAAACCCATGAGCCGTCAACCCTGCACTGAAGGCTCACAGATTTTTACCTTTTTCAGAGTTTGGAAATTGAAGATGGAGGCCATTGCCAGACCACTGCCACCATTCCAGGCTATTGTGGCAATTGCCTTGCTAAGCTACGGTGTGGCCATGTGCTCTTTGAGCTATGGCCAGGCCATATTTTCGTAAACTTTGATGCCCCTCTCCTAAACCTTAGGGAGGTGAATCACCTCTTTCTTTCTCCAATTTACTTTCTAAATAAACTATATTATCTAATTAAAAAAAAAGAAATTGAAGATGGAGATTAAATTACTCAAATGCTTTTTTATATTAATGGAACTAATCTTTCATTCAATGTGATTTTTCTCTTTTGATCTCTTTGGTCAACTACATTAATAGATTTCTTTTTTAAAAAAAATTTCTATATTTCAGAAAACCTACTTGAATACACTTTGAAACAAGAGTACAACAAAATAGAATATTCAAAATGTTGAATATACAAACTATTATAGTTCAAATCTGAACACTGGTACTTTCCCTCTTAAACTTCAACTAAAAAAAAAAAAAAAAAAAGAAAGAAAGAAAACTCCAGGTATTAGAGCTACCTGACAAAAATTCATGCTGAGCCTAAACGTCCAAGTGACAGTGGAACTGAAACTGACATGTCCGCACAGATGCCAGGGCTACGTGAGTGACAGAGGCGTGTTACAGCAAAAGGCCAGAGCCAACTGTTAATTCATCCACAATTAGGAAACTGACAGACTTAAACTACCATATAAAATGTTACACGTAAATTCTATAACAATACTGTGCTAGGTACAAGATTTTTAAAATTTTTCTTTTAATAAAAAAGCTTTACACAAACAAGCCATTAGCTTATTTCAAGAAAGAAAACTGAAAATTAGTCTAAGGCCTTTGTTTTAAATCAGCTTAAGCTATATGATATATATATAAAAAAATTCGCACTAGATTTTTTTTTGCTATCCTCTTTCTGAAGCTTTTGGATCCATTCTTCAATTCACATTCTAAAATACCTATATTAGCAGTGTCTTCACATTGCATCAGTTAAGTGAGTACTGTGCGAACACAATAATTGCTGGTATGCGTATAAAATGCATCAAAAATTGCTATATGTAACAAGGAGATCACCCATCCCAACCCCTCCCCTAATAACTTTCTAAATATTGGACCACTCTTGCATTCTTGGAAAGAATTTTACTTGCTTGTGGAATAGGACAAATAGTTTACTAAGAATTTTCTCATTAATATTTATAATGTAATATTTTTGGTCGAGGTATGCTGACTTCATAGAAAGCACTTGCGAGTTTTCCTTCTGTCTCTGTATTTGAACAACTGAAGTATTGTTGGTGTTGCCCACTCCTCTTACAACATTGACGTTTTGTTCTGTAGTAACTGGCCTTTCAGATTTCTTGCCTTTCTTTTTTTTCTTTTTGAGTTGGTGTCTCATTCCTTTGTTCAGGCTGGAGGGCAGTGGCACGCACACTCAGCCACCAGAACTT